ACAATTAGCTGCATACTGAATAAAACAGTGCATTTGTCTTTTTAGCGTGGGATTATGATTCTAAAAATAAATTTTGGGGAAAGTTGAAAGTGAAAGTGTTTGCAATTCGTAAAATACATTGTCAACAAAAAAAAATTGGTTATTTTATATTATTTTATTATTTGGTTATAATTATCATTATAATAATAGAAAATATGTAAGTTACTCTGGTTTTGTCATTATGTTTAGTAAGTATATAAAACAATTATCGGTATATAAATATTTTATTAGTGCAAACTTTTGTTGTACAAATAATTTTTTTTTTTTTGAAGCAATGACGCCGAAATGAAAAAACTGAGCCACAGCCATCGACTGTGTTCATTTCATATACATTGTTATGTTCATACATTGTAAAAACAATAAAAAATTTCAGAAACCTGCTGAATTGTTGTTTGATACTGAGCCTGGATACCAAATTTGGCTTGATTATCTGGGAGCTCAGGAAATGGGAGAAATTAGGCCAGGGAGGCCAGGGCTCAAAAGGTTAATACAGCTACAGGAGCTCCCAACAACTCTTAAACACTCCATGTTTCACTAGCACTAACAAGTCTTAAACAACTCCATATTTCACTTGCATGGCAATGTTCCTAACATGTGTTAATGACATAAAATTTTTTTTTTCCCCAACAAAGTAATCATTTCTCTACTTTACCTTTTCCGTTTCTTTACTATCACAGCTGCTGCCATCAGAACAATTTTTCCAAGTGACATGGTCAACTAACCAGAGGGTCAATGTACTTGGCCAATTGCCGCCTGAAAAAAAAGGCAATATTAACTTTATGTGTAATGCACATCATAAACTGAGCAGGTTTAAAATAGAACTCACAACTATATATATATATATATATATTTATATATATATATATATATTATCCCCTCCCCCCTTTCCTTTAATTAAAATTGACTAAGTAACACTGTGAAAGATTTTTTTCAACAGTTGGCTAAAATTATGCCCTGCAAGAAGTGAGCTTATTCACTGGCAATGGGTTCAAGCAAGCCCACAACCATCATCATCATCTTATCCCATTTATGCCCAAGACACATGGGGCAGAGTAAGTAGTGTTCATGTTCATGACCTAAGCCCACAATAATTCCCATTATTTTTGCAATGCTTAAAATTTGTTACTCAAATAGCCAAGCCATGTTCAACTAATGCACAAATTACTGGCCAACTAGATTAGACCCAAGCTAATGCACAAATTACTGGCCAACTAGACTAGACCCAAGCTAATGCACAAATTACTGCCCAACTAGACTAGACCTAAGCTAATGCACAAATTACTGGCCAACTAGACTAGACCCAAGCTAATGCACAAATTACTGGCCAACTAGACTAGACCTAAGCTAATGCACAAATTACTGGCCAACTAGACTAGACCCAAGCTAATGCACAAATTACTGGCCAACTAGACTAGACCCAAGCTAATGCACAAATTACTGCCCAACTAGACTAGACTCGAGAGTACAAGGTACATCCACCCTGAGAGCAATCTTTGACAACTTCATCAAATTGAAAGGACATAATGGTCAATTGGTAGAACATTCAGCTTTTAGCCTGGAGGTCTCAAGTTTGTAAGACATTGCTGAGTCCACCCAGCTCTGATGGGTACCTGACTCATGTTGGGGAAAGTAAAGGCAGCTGGGCATAGTGATGACCACAATATCCTTTCATAAGCTGAGATCATTCAACATATGACTTCTACTTTCTCAACATACGAGATTGTATAGATACAAGCTGTCAAGTCAGCAATTTTTTAAACTTGAGTTATGAAGAACAGAACCCATGTGGTTCATGGAAAAAAATCATCCCAAAATAGTTGCAACTGATTGTGACTGGCTGTTATTTAATGATCAACTCATTTCCACAACATTAGAAAAGGAGGAAGAATTAAACCTCATTAAAAGATTTTACTTTAAAAAGTCTACACATGAGTAAAGTTTGTCTACACATGAAAGTGAGTAAAGTCTGTCTACACATGAAAGTGAGTAAAGTCTGTCTACACATGAAAGTGAGTAAAGTCTGTCTACACATGAGTAAAGTCTGTCTACACATGAAAGTGAGTAAAGTCTGTCTACACATGAAAGTGAGTAAAGTCTGTCTACACATGAAAGTGAGTAAAGTCTGTCTACACATGAGTAAAGTCTGTCTACACATGAAAGTGAGTAAAGTCTGTCTACACATGAAAGTGAGTAAAGTCTGTCTACACATGAAAGTGAGTAAAGTCTGTCTACACATAAGTAAAGTCTGTCTACACATGAAAGTGAGTAAAGTCTGTCTACACATGAAAGTGAGTAAAGTATGTCTACACATGAGTAAAGTCTGTCTACACATGAGTAAAGTCTGTCTACACATGAAAGTGAGTAAAGTCTGTCTACACATGAGTAAAGTCTGTCTACACATGAGTAAAGTCTGTCTACACATGAGTAAAGTCTGTCTACACATGAAAGTGAGTAAAGTATGTCTACACATGAGTAAAGTCTGTCTACACATGAGTAAAGTCTGTCTACACATGAAAGTGAGTAAAGTCTGTCTACACATGAGTAAAGTCTGTCTACACATGAAAGTGTGTAAAGTTTGTCTACACATGAAAATGAGTAAAGTCTGTCTACACATGAAAGTGAGTAAAGTCTGTCTACACATGAGTAAAGTCTGTCTACACATGAGTAAAGTCTGTCTACACATGAAAGTGAGTAAAGTCTGTCTACACATGAGTAAAGTTTGTCTACAGATGAAAGTGAGTAAAGTCTATCTACACATGAAAGTGAGTAAAGTCTGTCTACACATGAGTAAAGTTTGTCTACAGATGAAAGTGAGTAAAGTCTGTCTACACATGAAAGTGTGTAAAGTCTGTCTACACATGAAAGTGTGTAAAGTTTGTCTACACATGAAAGTGAGTAAAGTCTGTCTACACATGAAAGTGTGTAAAGTCTGTCTACACATGAAAGTGAGTAAAGTCTGTCTACACATGAGTAAAGTCTGTCTACACATGAAAGTGAGTAAAGTCTGTCTACACATGAAAGTGAGTAAAGTATGTCTACACATGAGTAAAGTCTGTCTACACATGAAAGTGTGTAAAGTTTGTCTACACATGAAAATGAGTAAAGTCTGTCTACACATGAAAGTGTGTAAAGTTTGTCTACACATGAAAGTGAGTAAAGTCTGTCTACACATGAGTAAAGTTTGTCTACAGATGAAAGTGAGTAAAGTCTGTCTACATGTGAGTAAAGTCTGTCTACAAGTTAAACAAAAGCTTGTAAAAAGTAAAGCTTCTCCATCCTACAACTTTGCCAGCAGTTATCTCAAGTCCACTGATTCCCTACAACAATATACACTTTATCATATAGTCGTACAATTGATTTGATTCCTTAACAATATACACTTCATCATATAGTCAAACAATTGATTTGATTCCCTAACAATATACACTTTATCATATAGTCGTACAATTGATTTGATTCCCAAACAATATACACTTTATCATATAGTCGTACAATTGATTTGATTCCCTAACAAAATACACTTTATCATATAGTCGTACAATTGATTTGATTCCCTAACAATATACACTTTATCATATAGTCGTACAATTGATTTGATTCCTTAACAATATACACTTCATCATATAGTTGTACAATTGATTTGATTCCCGAACAATATACACTTTATCATATAGTCGTACAATTGATTTGATTCCCAAACAATATACACTTTATCATATAGTCGTACAATTGATTTGATTCCTTAACAATATACACTTCATCATATAGTCGTACAATTGATTTGATTCCTTAACAATATACACTTTATCATATAGACGTACAATTGATTTGATTGCTTAACAATATACACTTCATCATATAGTCGTACAATTGATTTGATTCCTTAACAATATACACTTCATCATATAGTCGTACAATTGATTTGATTCCTTAACAATATACACTTCATCATATAGTCGTACAATTGATTTGATTTCCTAACAATATACACTTTATCATATAGTCGTACAATTGATTTGATTCCCAAACAATATACACTTTATCATATAGTCGTACAATTGATTTGATTCCCAAACAATATACACTTTATCATATAGTCGTACAATTGATTTGATTCCCTAACAATATACACTTTATCATATAGTAGTACAATTGATTTTTCAAGAGAACTGACTTAAAACTACTCACCTAGATTAGCCACTGTATTTAACAGTGTCATGTAAGTCCCACCAATAAGAGGATCACTAATTTTAGCATGAAATGCCATTTGGGACACAAACATGCAATACACAGCAACCTAACAACATGAAAATTTCAGTTATTAAAATCAATTATCAAAGTAAGTATATGATACAACATACCAAACATTACTAAGTGTGAGGGGCGGGGTGTTGAATCATACATGTTCACTAGGGTTAAGGTTAACCAAATTTACCTGGGGTGTTGAATCATACATGTTCACTAGGGTTAAGGTTAACCAAATTTACCTGGGGTGTTGAATCATACATGTTCACTAGGGTTAAGGTTAACCAAATTTACCTGGGGTGTTGAATCATACATGTTCACTAGGGTTAAGGTTAACCAAATTTACCTGGGGTGTTGAATCATATATGTTCACTAGGGTTAAGGTTAACCAAATTTACCTGGGGTGTTGAATCATACATGTTCACTAGGGTTAAGGTTAACCAAATTTACCTGGGGTGTTGAATCATATATGTTCACTAGGGTTAAGGTTAACCAAATTTACCTGGGGTGTTGAATCATACATGTTCACTAGGGTTAATGTTAACAAAATTTACCTGGGGTGTTGAATCATACATGTTCACTAGGGTTAATGTTAACCAAATTTACCTGGGGTGTTGAATCATACATGTTCACTAGGGTTAATGTTAACCAAATTTACCTGGGGTGTTGAATCATACATGTTCACTAGGGTTAATGTTAACCAAATTTACCTGGGGTGTTGAATCATACATGTTCACTAGGGTTAATGTTAACCAAATTTACCTGGGGTGTTGAATCATACATGTTCACTAGGGTTAAGGTTAACCAAATTTACCTGGGGTGTTGAATCATACATGTTCACTAGGGTTAAGGTTAACCAAATTTACCTGGGGTGTTGAATCATACATGTTCACTAGGGTTAAGGTTAACCAAATTTACCTGGGGTGTTGAATCATACATGTTCACTAGGGTTAATGTTAACCAAATTTACCTGGGGTGTTGAATCATACATGTTCACTAGGGTTAATGTTAACCAAATTTACCTGGGGTGTTGAATCATACATGTTCACTAGGGTTAAGGTTAACCAAATTTACCTGGGGTGTTGAATCATACATGTTCACTAGGGTTAAGGTTAACCAAATTTACCTGGGGTGTTGAATCATACATGTTCACTAGGGTTAATGTTAACCAAATTTACCTGGGGTGTTGAATCATACATGTTCACTAGGGTTAATGTTAACCAAATTTACCTGGGGTGTTGAATCATACATGTTCACTAGGGTTAAGGTTAACCAAATTTACCTGGTGTAGAGCGTACAGAGTGAGTGCCACAACATAAAAGTACCAGGGGAATTCACCAGGGATGGTCTGAGTTGTACCCGCCCAGTAGACTACACCGCAAAACATCAGACCTATGGCCATCCTGAAAGTCAATCAATATCAGTCACCTTACTGAATAAATGTATGTCAACATCAGTCACCTTACTGAATAAAACATCAGACCTATGGCCATCCTGAAAGTCAATATCAGTCACCTTACTGAATAAAACATCAGACCTATGGCCATCCTGAAAGTCAATATCAGTCACCTTACTGAATAAAACATCAGACCTATGGCCATCCTGAAAGTCAATATCAGTCACCTTACTGAATAAAACATCAGACCTATGGCCATCCTGAAAGTCAATATCAGTCATCTTACTGAATAAAACATCAGACCTATGGCCATCCTGAAAGTTAATATCAGTCACCTTACTGAATAAAACATCAGACCTATGGCCATCCTGAAAGTCAATATCAGTCACCTTACTGAATAAAACATCAGACCTATGGCCATTCTGAAAGTCAATCAATTTAAGTCATTTTACTGAATAAAACATCAGACCTATGGCCATCCTGAAAGTCAATATCAGTCACCTTACTGAATAAAACATCAGACCTATGGCCATCCTGAAAGTCAATATCAGTCACCTTACTGAATAAAACTTTAGACCTATGGCCATCCTGAAAGTCAATCAATATCAGTCACCTTACTGAATAAAACATCAGACCTATGGCCATCCTGAAAGTCAATCAATATCAGTCACCTTACTGAATAAAACATCAGACCTATGGCCATCCTGAAAGTCAATCAATATCAGTCACCTTACTGAATAAAACATCAGACCTATGGCCATCCTGAAAGTCAATCAATATCAGTCACCTTACTGAATAAAACATCAGACCTATGGCCATCCTGAAAGTCAATCAATATCAGTCACCTTACTGAATAAAACATCAGACCTATGGCCATCCTGAAAGTCAATCAATATCAGTCACCTTACTGAATAAAACATCAGACCTATGGCCATCCTGAAAGTCAATCAATATCAGTCACCTTACTGAATAAAACATCAGACCTATGGCCATCCTGAAAGTCAATCAATATCAGTCACCTTACTGAATAAATGTATGTCAACATCAGTCACCTTACTGAATAAAACATCAGACCTATGGCCACCATAAAAGTCAATCAATATCAGTCACCTTACTGAATAAAACATCAGACCTATGGCCACCCTGAAAGTCAATATCAGTCACCTTACTGAATAAATGTATGTCAACATCAGTCACCTTACTGAATAAAACATCAGACCTATGGCCATCCTGAAAGTCTATCAATATCAGTCACCTTACCAAATAAATAACAATGTCAACATCAGTCACCTTACTAAATGTCAATATCAGTCACCTCACTGAATGTCAACATCAGTCACCTCAATAAATAAATAACAATGTCAACATCAGTCACCTTACTAAATGTCAACATCAGTCACCTCAATAAATAAATAACAATGTCAACATCAGTCACCTTACTAAATGTCAATATCAGTCACCTTACTAAATAAATAACAATGTCAATATCAGTCACCTTACTAAATAAATAACAATATCAATATCAGTCACCTCAAAGTGAGTAGGTGGAGGGGTCATAGTTAGCAGGTGGAGGGGTCAAAGTGAAAGGTGGAGGGGTCAAAGTGAACAGGTGGAGGGGTCAAAGTGAGCAGGTGGAGGGGTCAAAGTGAACAGGTGGAGGGGTCATAGTGAACAGGTGGAGGGGTCAGTGTGAGCAGGTGGAGGGGTCAAAGTGAACAGGTGGATGGGTCATAGTGAGCAGGTGGAGGGGTCAAAGTGAAAGGTGGAGGGGTCATAGTGAGCAGGTGGAGGGGTCAGTGTGAGCAGGTGGAGGGGTCAAAGTGAGCAGGTGGAGGGGTCATAGTTAGCAGGTGGAGGGGTCAAAGTGAACAGGTGGAGGGGGTCATAGTTAGCAGGTGGAGGGGTCAAAGTGAGCAGGTGGAGGGGTCAAAGTGAACAGGTGGAGGGGTCAAAGTGAGCAAGTGGAGGGGTCAAAGTGAGCAGGTGGAGGGGTCAAAGTGAACAGGTGGAGGGGTCAAAGTGAACAGGTGGAGGGGTCAAAGTGAACAGGTGGAGGGGTCAAAGTGAACAGGTGGAGGGGTCAAAGTGAACAGGTGGAGGGGTCAAAGTGAACAGGTGGAGGGGTAAAAGTGAGCAAGTGGAGGGGTCAAAGTGAGCAGGTGGAGGGGACATAGTAAACAGGTGGAGGGGTCAAAGTGAACAGGTGGAGGGGTCAAAGTGAGCAGGTGGAGGGGTCAGTGTGAGATCCTATAGGGGTCACTGTGAGCTCCTATAGCATTCATCATATCATGCATGTTAAACTGCTATAGAATGTAAGTGACATGAAGAAAAATAATTACCTGTATGGATAAGCCTTAAGCCAAATGTCCATAGGTTTAGGGCCTGAAGTGTATTTACTTATCAAAAGAGGAAGAGCTATTTGAATTGGCACCATCGGTATGGCAAACAGAGCTAACCTCTCCTTGGGCATGCCAGCTTCAATCAATTTCAGACCAGTTAATGCATCACTGGCGGCAAAAGTTACCTTTGGGCAACAAAGGGTTGAAGGTTAGAGAGGTAATAACATTCACTTGGATCAGTTAGAGAGGTAACAACATTCACTTGGATCAGTTAGAGAGGTAATAACATCCACTTGCATCAGTTAGAGAGGTAATAACATTCACTTGGATCAGTTAGAGAGGTAATAACATTCACTTGCATCAGTTAGAGAGGTAATAACATTCACTTGCATCAGTTAGAGAGGTAATAACATTCACTTGGATCAGTTAGAGAGGTAATAACATTCACTTGGATCAGTTAGAGAGGTAATAACATTCACTTGGATCAGTTAGAGAGGTAATAACATTCACTTGGATCAGTTAGAGAGGTAATAACATTCACTTGGATCAGTTAGAGAGGTAATAACATTCACTTGGATCAGTTAGAGAGGTAATAACATTCACTTGGATCAGTTAGAGAGGTAATAACATTCACTTGGATCAGTTAGAGAGGTAATAACATTCACTTGGATCAGTTAGAGAGGTAATAACATTCACTTGGATCAGTTAGAGAGGTAATAACATTCACTTGGATCAGTTAGAGAGGTAATAACATTCACTTGGATCAGTTAGAGAGGTAATAACATTCACTTGGATCAGTTAGAGAGGTAATAACATTCACTTGGATCAGTTAGAGAGGTAATAACATCCACTTGCATCAGTTAGAGAGGTAATAACATTCACTTGGATCAGTTAGAGAGGTAATAACATTCACTTGCATCAGTTAGAGAGGTAATAACATTCACTTGCATCAGTTAGAGAGGTAATAACATTCACTTGGATCAGTTAGAGAGGTAATAACATTCACTTGGATCAGTTAGAGAGGTAATAACATTCACTTGGATCAGTTAGAGAGGTAATAACATTCACTTGCATCAGTTAGAGAGGTAATAACATTCACTTGGATCAGTTAGAGAGGTAATAACATTCACTTGGATCAGTTAGAGAGGTAATAACATTCACTTGGATCAGTTAGAGAGGTAATAACATTCACTTGGATCAGTTAGAGAGGTAATAACATTCACTTGGATCAGTTAGAGAGGTAATAACATTCACTTGGATCAGTTAGAGAGGTAATAACATTCACTTGGATCAGTTAGAGAGGTAATAACATTCACTTGGATCAGTTAGAGAGGTAATAACATTCACTTGGATCAGTTAGAGAGGTAATAACATTCACTTGGATCAGTTAGAGAGGTAATAACATTCACTTGGATCAGTTAGAGAGGTAATAACATTCACTTGGATCAGTTAGAGAGGTAATAACATTCACTTGGATCAGTTAGAGAGGTAATAACATTCACTTGGATCAGTTAGAGAGGTAATAACATTCACTTGGATCAGTTAGAGAGGTAATAACATTCACTTGGATCAGTTAGAGAGGTAATAACATTCACTTGGATCAGTTAGAGAGGTAATAACATTCACTTGGATCAGTTAGAGAGGTAATAACATTCACTTGGATCAGTTAGAGAGGTAATAACATTCACTTGGATCAGTTAGAGAGGTAATAACATTCACTTGGATCAGTTAGAGAGGTAATAACATTCACTTGGATCAGTTAGAGAGGTAATAACATTCACTTGGATCAGTTAGAGAGGTAATAACATTCACTTGGATCAGTTAGAGAGGTAATAACATTCACTTGGATCAGTTAGAGAGGTAATAACATTCACTTGGATCAGTTAGAGAGGTAATAACATTTAATTGGATCAGTTAAAGAGGATCTAGTAATTTATTATTTTTGTATTTCATCACCTCCCATGAAAAATAGATGACTGGAAGAAACACTGCATACATGTTCATTAGAATGTAAGGGAATGTTATTGCCTAACCCTACCTGTAACACAACCTAACCCTACCTGTAACACAACCTAACCCTAACCATGCCTGTAACACAACCTAACCCTACCTGTAACACAACCTAACCCTAACCATGCCTGTAACACAACCTAACCCTACCTGTAACACAACCTAACCCTAACCATGCCTGTAACACAACCTAACCCTGCCTGTAACACAACCTAACCCTAACCCTGCCTGTAACACAAACTTAACCTACCTGTAACACAACCTAACCCTAACCCTGCCTGTAACACAACCTAACCCTGCCTGTAACACAACCTAACCCTGCCTGTAACACAACCTAACCCTGCCTGTAACACAACCTAACCCTGCCTGTAACACAACCTAACCCTGCCTGTAACACAACCAAACCCTACCTGTAACACAACCTAACCCTAACCCTGCCTGTAACACAACCTAACCCTGCCTGTAACACAACCTAACCCTGCCTGTAACACAACCTAACCCTAACCCTGCCTGTAACACAACCTAACCCTACCTGTAACACAACCTAACCCTACCTGTAACACAACCTAACCCTACCTGTAACACAACCTAACCCTACCTGTAACACAACCTAACCCTGCCTGTAACACAACCTAACCCTGCCTGTAACACAACCTAACCCTGCCTGTAACACAACCTAACCCTGCCTGTAACACAACCTAACCCTGCCTGTAACACAACCTAACCCTGCCTGTAACACAACCTAACCCTGCCTGTAACACAACCTAACCCTGCCTGTAACACAACCTAACCCTAACCATGCCTGTAACACAACCTAACCCTACCTGTAACACAACCTAACCCTAACCCTGCCTGTAACACAACCTAACCCTGCCTGTAACACAACCTTACCCTGCCTGTAACACAACCTATCCCTACCTGTAACACAACCTAACCCTACCTGTAACACAACCTAACCCTACCTGTAACACAACCTAACCCTAACCCTGCCTGTAACACAACCTAACCCTAACCCTGCCTGTAACACAACCTAACCCTACCTGTAACACAACCTAACCCTAACCCTGCCTGTAACACAACCTAACCCTGCCTGTAACACAACCTAACCCTACCTGTAACACAACCTAACCCTACCTGTAACACAACCTAACCCTGCCTGTAACACAACCTAACCCTACCTGTAACACAACCTAACCCTACCTGTAACACAACCTAACCCTGCCTGTAACACAACCTAACCCTAACCCTGCCTGTAACACAACCTAACCCTGCCTGTAACACAACCTAACCCTGCCTGTAACACAACCTAACCCTAACCCTACCTGTAACACAACCTAACCCTAACCCTGCCTGTAACACAACCTAACCCTAACCCTACCTGTAACACAACCTAACCCTACCTGTAACACAACCTAACCCTGCCTGTAACACAACCTAACCTTGCCTGTAACACAACCTAACCCTAACCCTGCCTGTAACACAACCTAACCCTGCCTGTAACACAACCTAACCCTGCCTGTAACACAACCTAACCCTGCCTGTAACACAACCTAACCCTGCCTGTAACACAACCTAACCCTACCTGTAACACAACCTAACCCTAAACCTACCTGTAACACAACCTAACCCTGCCTGTAACACAACCTAACCCTAACCCTGCCTGTAACACAACCTAACCCTACCTGTAACACAACCTAACCCTACCTGTAACACAACCTAACCCTGCCTGTAACACAACCTAACCCTGCCTGTAACACAACCTAACACTACCTGTAACACAACCTAACCCTGCCTGTAACACAACCTAACCCTGCCTGTAACACAACCTAACACTACCTGTAACACAACCTAACCCTACCTGTAACACAACCTAACCCTAACCCTGCCTGTAACACAAACTTAACCTACCTGTAACACAACCTAACCCTAACCCTAACACAACCTAACCCTACCTGTAACACAACCTAACCCTAAACCTACCTGTAACACAACCTAACCCTACCTGTAACACAACCTAACCCTACCTGTAACACAACCTAACCCTACCTGTAACACAACCTAACCCTGCCTGTAACACAACCTAACCCTGCCTGTAACACAACCTAACCCTACCTGTAACACAACCTAACCCTACCCCTGCCTGTAACACAACCTAACCCTAAACCTACCTGTAACACAACCTAACCCTGCCTGTAACACAACCTAACCCTAACCCTGCCTGTAACACAACCTAACCCTACCTGTAACACAACCTAACCCTACCTGTAACACAACCTAACCCTACCTGTAACACAACCTAACCCTGCCTGTAACACAACCTAACCCTGCCTGTAACACAACCTAACCCTGCCTGTAACACAACCTAACCCTGCCTGTAACACAACCTAACCCTACCTGTAACACAACCTAACCCTACCTGTAACACAACCTAACCCTGCCTGTAACACAACCTAACCCTGCCTGTAACACAACCTAACCCTGCCTGTAACACAACCTAACCCTAACCCTGCCTGTAACACAACCTAACCCTGCCTGTAACACAACCTAACCCTGCCTGTAACACAACCTAACCCTACCTGTAACACAACCTAACCCTACCTGTAACACAACCTAACCCTGCCTGTAACACAACCTAACACTACCTGTAACACAACCTAACCCTACCTGTAACACAACCTAACCCTAACCATGCCTGTAACACAACATAACCCGAACCCTAAAATAAAAAACCCTAAGGTAACCATCTACCTTTGAAATGAGCAGAATGATTGTGTATGTGATGACAGGAGGTAAGCAGATGACCTTGAGGAGAATTTTGTAGGTTTCCACAATCCCTTGCTCTGGGTCTGCCTCTAGATCCATATGTTCTTTCTTACAAACACCCACTATGGTAGTTGTAATAAAAAAAGTAACTCCCCAAAACCAGAGGAAGCCTAAATGGGTGGAGTAGATAACATTGTCATAGTTAAAACTTTCTTAGTTATATTTATATCAAGACAGGGTTTCAAGTGGTCATTACTACAGTAATAGCAAATGTTGTACACCAACAGCAAATGTTGTATGTACACCAACAATAGCTTAAACGCTGGGATAGATATCAGAGAGTGATGTCATTTAAAAATGTCACAAGTTACCAGAGAGAGTGATGATGCCTTCATTCTGTGCTTGACTTCTCAAATAACGATTGCAAAAATCTGCAGACTCCAGTGCTAGAAAGAGAACATTCCCCAAGAAATATCCAGCAGTTTGTCCCACTGAGTTGCATGTACTGGCCCAGCCCACGTTTGATCTACAACAAAAAGATCAGGTTAATAATAGATGCTTGTTTTTACACTGTCTACCCTTTCCTATTCATTAAAAATGTATATAAGGAAACACATGTCAATCAACATGGCATGAAAAAGTTTCATTCTTGTCAGACTGTCTTTCTTGTCAGACTGTCATTCTTGACAGACTGTCATTCTTGACAGACTGTCATTCTTGTCAGACTGTCATTCTTGACAGACTGTCATTCTTGTCAGACTGTCATTCTTGTCAGACTGTCATTCTTGACAGACTGTCATTCTTGTCAGACTGTCATTCTTGACAGACTGTCATTCTTGTCAGACTGTCATTCTTGTCAGACTGTCATTCTTGTCAGACTGTCACTCTTGTCAGACTGTCACACGGCTTTAATCAAAACTGATGAAACGTGGGTCAAAATATTAACTCCAATTTACCAGTTTAAAAAAACCCTTTCATTCTGTTGATCACGCTATACTTCTAAAGAAATTTATACAAATGTATACAAATGTATACTTATATACATCTATATTTATTGAAATGTATACAAAAATGAAAGTATGTTTGTGTGTTTGCTTGTCCTTTATGCATTACTGCACCTTTCATCAGATCGCCATGCAATATTGGGCAGAAAAATTAGCCTATGTTTTAGATGTCATCGTACATTATTTATTTCAATGATTTTTCCATTTACCAACCACAAAGTCATACAAACACTTTTTGTGTGCGTATTGGAGAAAAAGTGCTCAAATTATTATTCTTGGGAGGGGAGGGTCAGACTTGAATGAAAAGTGAGGCGAGGGGGAGTTTAACCTAAGGCATTTAAAAATGTTAAAAACTTAATGTAAGCTGTTACTTCACTGAGATTTTATTTCAATATAAAAAGTAATCAATCTATACCTACTTAACGAGGACTAAGCTCAGTATATATTTTTAAAAACTACAGTTTAGAGAGGGCTTGAAGGTTGAGGTGTGACGTCATTTAATTTGTTGGGCTCTGAATTTTTGTGTGGATATGTATTGTTGGTGAGTGGGATGGTGGAGGAGGTAAAAATCTTTAAAAATCATAACGCTGCTTATGATGATGATATGGTTGACACAGGTGTAGGTATAAGTATCATGATTTATTTGCATCTGGTGCTAGTTTTCTTAAAGCTCTGTTGTCTTAATTTTATCTTTAACATGCAGGATAAGAGTTTTATGTTTTAAAATATTAAAACTTCAATGTTAAATTCAATATGTGGACATCCATTCAACTGCCTCCTCTCCTCTATATGTGGACATCCATTCAACTGCCTCCTCTCCTCTATATGTGGACATCCATTCGACTGCCTCCTCTCCTCTATATGTGGACATCCATTCAACTGCCTCCTCTCCTCTATATGTGGACATCCATTCAACTGCCTCCTCTCCTCTATATGTGGACATCCATTCAACTGCCTCCTCTCCTCTATATGTGGACATCCATTCAACTGCCTCCTCTCCTCTATATGTGGACATCCATTCAACTGCCTCCTCTCCTCTATATGTGGACATCCATTCAACTGCCTCCTCTCCTCTATATGTGGACATCCATTCAACTGCCTCCTCTCCTCTATATGTGGACATCCATTCAACTGCCTCCTCTATATGTGGACATCCATTTGACTGTCTCCTCTCCTATATATGTGGACATCCATTCAACTGCCTCCTCTCCTCTATATGTGGACATCCATTCAACTGCCTCCTCTCCTCTATATGTGGACATCCAGTCAACTGCCTCCTCTATATGTGGACATCCAGTCAACTGCCTCCTCTCCTCTATATGTGGACATCCATTCGACTACCTCCCCTCCTCTACTTTCTAGTTTACAGATGTCCACTAAAGTATTTTTTGGACCAGCATGAGAGTCATATAAGGACGAGACCTGTCACCCAACAGGTCTGGACTTTCAGAAATCTGCAATGCAAAGGCAGCGTTTGTTGCTCCTCTGTTAAATCTTCTCAAAACCTTCCTCAGTTCTTGCTAACCTCTCTGGGCAAGTGTTCAGGCCCTTCAGGCATCCAACATGGCCTCTGTCTGTCTTTTATCCATCTTAGCATGCATATAGAATGCTATAATACAAGCAAGGAAACATTAGACACATATAGAATGCTATAATACAAGCAAGGAAACATTAGACACATATAGAATGCTATAATACAAGCAAGGAAACATTAGACACATATAGAATGCTATAATACAAGCAAGGAAACATTAGACACATATAGAATGCTATAATACAAGCAAGGAAATATTAGACACATATAGAATGCTATAATACAAGCAAGGAAACATTAGACACATATAGAATGCTGTAATACAAGCAAGGAAACATTAGACACATATAGAATGCTGTAATACAAGCAAGGAAACATTAGACACATATAGAATGCTGTAATACAAGCAAGGAAACATTAGACACATATAGAATGCTATAATACAAGCAAGGAAACATTAGACACATATAGAATGCTATAATACAAGCAAGGAAACATTAGACACATATAGAATGCTATAATACAAGCAAGGAAACATTAGACACATATAGAATGCTATAATACAAGCAAGGAAACATTAGACACATATAGAATGCTGTAATACAAGCAAGGAAACATTACACACATATAGAATGCTATAATACAAGCAAGGAAACATTAGACACATATAGGATGCTATAATACAAGCAAGGAAACATTAGACACATATAGAATGCTATAATACAAGCAAGGAAACATTAGACACATATAGAATGCTATAATACAAGCAAGGAAACATTAGACACATATAGAATGCTATAATACAAGCAAGGAAACATTAGACACATATAGAATGCTATAATACAAGCAAGGAAACATTAGACACATATAGAATGCTATAATACAAGCAAGGAAACATTAGACACATATAGAATGCTATAATACAAGCAAGGAAACATTAGACACATATAGAATGCTATAATACAAGCAAGGAAACATTAGACACATATAGAATGCTATAATACAAGCAAGGAAACATTAGACACATATAGAATGCTATAATACAAGCAAGGAAACATTAGACACATAGAAACCAAAGCCAGAATAATTAAAATGCCATCACACTGCAACTTTTCATATGCCACTGGCCAGGGCATCCAGGTCAGTTTGCTAACTGGCCAGTCAGTTTGCAAAGTGGACAACAGCTCTGGCCATTTTACCCAGACATTAGTCTGGAGAGGAGAACAGCTCCTTCCAACTGATCTGAAAATATTTGTACTCACTTAGACAACATAGTCAGAGCCCAGCCATCAACAGCTATATCTTGTGTGGCCGCCAAAAAATTGAGGGAGATAAATATGATGGTAAGGCCTGCAATATTGACATGACTTGATTCATCCCCATCTCCTAAAAGATATTTGGCTTGGGTGGATAAAATCAGCATAAACAAGCCTAGAAGATTGGAAACAATAGACAAAGTGTTAGGTTTAGGGGGATAGGTTTAGGGGGGGAAAGGTTAGCTAGAGAGCAGTAGAAGATTGGAAACAATAGACAAAGTGTTTAGGTTAGGGTTAGGTTTAGGGAGGAAAAGGATAGGGATACGTTTAGGGGGGGATAGGTTTAGGGGGGGGGGGATATGTTTAGGGTGGAAAAGGTTAGGGTTAGGTTTAGGGGGGGTATAGGTTTATGGTGGAAAAGGTTAGGGTTAGGTTTAGGGGGGGGGGATAGGTTTAGGGTGGAAAAGGTTAGGGTTAGGGATAAGTTTAGGGGGGGGATAGGTTTAGGATAGAAAAGGTAAGCAGAGAGCAGGGATACTGTTCATGCAGGGACACCAAATCTTGGTAGGTTGCCAGGGAAAAATTCCAGAGGGCAGCCAGTAATGATGCTAAAGTAGGCCTATTAAAGCTTTTATTTTTTGATGCTATAGTAGACCTATCAGTGCTTTTATTTTTTATGCTATAGTAGGCCTATTAGTGCTTTTATTTTTTATTCTAAAGTAGGCAAATTAGTGCTATTATTTTTTATGTTATAGTAGGCCTATTAGTGCTATTATTTTTTTACGCTATACTAGGCCTATTAGTGCTATTATTTTTTATGCTATAGTAGACCTATCAGTGCTTTTATTTTTTATGCTATAGTAGACCTATCAGTGCTTTTATTTTTTATTCTAAAGTAGGCAAATTAGTGCTATTATTTTTTATATTAGTGCTATTATTTTTTATGTTATAGTAGGCCTATTAGTGCTAATATTTTTTACGCTATACTAGGCCTATTAGTGCTTTTATTTTTTACGCTATACTAGGCCTATTAGATCCACAAAGTCTGTATCGATAAAGTTCAAGGTGATTCACAAAGTATGTATTGACAAAGTTCAAGGAGATCCACAAAGTCTGTATTGTCAAAGTTCAAGGTGATCCACAAAGTCTGTATTGACAAAGTTCAAGGTGATTCACAAAGTCTGTATTGACAAAGTTCAAGGTGATCCACAAAGTCTGTATTGACAAAGTTCAAGGTGATCCACAAAGTCTGTATTGACAAAGTTCAAGGTGATGCACAAAGTCTGTATTGACAAAGTTCAAGGTGATGCACAAAGTCTGTATTGACAAAGTTCAAGGTGATCCACAAAGTCTGTATTGACAAAGTTCAAGGTGATTCACAAAGTCTGTATCTATCCACAAAGTCTGTATTCACAACGTTCAAGGTGATTCACAAAGTCTGTATCTATCTACAAAGTCTGTATTGACAAAGTTCAAGGTGATCCACAAAGTCTGTATTGACAAAGTTCAAGGTGATTCACAAAGTCTGTATCTATCCACAAAGTCTGTATTGTCAAAGTTCAAGGTGATCCACAAAGTCTGTATTGACAAAGTTCAAGGTGATTCACAAAGTCTGTATCTATCCACAAAGTCTGTATTGACAAAGTTCAAGGTGATCCACAAAGTCTGTATTGACAAAGTTCAAGGTGATCCACAAAGTCTGTATCTATCCACAAAGTCTGTATTGACAAAGTTCAAGGTGATCCACAAAGTCTGTATTGACAAAGTTCAAGGTGATCCACAAAGTCTGTATTGACAAAGTTCAAGGTGATCCACAAAGTCTGTATTGTCAAAGTTCAAGGTGATCCACAAAGTCTGTATTGACAAAGTTCAAGGTGATCCACAAAGTCTGTATTGACAAAGTTCAAGGTGATCCACAAAGTCTGTATTGTCAAAGTTCAATGTGATCCACAAAGTCTGTATTGTCGAAGTTCAAGGTGATCCACAAAGTCTGTATTGTCAAAGTTCAATGTGATCCACAAAGTCTGTATTGTCAAAGTTCAAGGTGATCCACAAAGTCTGTATTGACAAAGTTCAAGGTGATCCACAAAGTTTGTATTGTCAAAGTTCAAGGTGATCAACAAAGTCTGTATTGTCAAAGTTCAAGGTGATCCACAAAGTCTGTATTGACAAAGTTCAAGGTGATCCACAAAGTCTGTATTGACAAAGTTCAAGGTGATCCACAAAGTCTGTATTGACAAAGTTCAAGGTGATCCACAAAGTCTGTATTGACAAAGTTCAAGGTGATTCACAAAGTCTGTATTGACAAAGTTCAAGGTGATCCACAAAGTCTGTATTGACAAAGTTCAAGGTGATTCACAAAGTCTGTATCTATCCACAAAGTCTGTATTGTCAAAGTTCAAGGTGATCCACAAAGTCTGTATTGACAAAGTTCAAGGTGATTCACAAAGTCTGTATCTATCCACAAAGTCTGTATTGTCAAAGTTCAAGGTGATCCACAAAGTCTGTATTGACAAAGTTCAAGGTGATCCACAAAGTCTGTATTGACAAAGTTCAAGGTGATTCACAAAGTCTGTATTGACAAAGTTCAAGGTGATCCACAAAGTCTGTATTGACAAAGTTCAAGGTGATCCACAAAGTCTGTATTGACAAAGTTCAAGGTGATGCACAAAGTCTGTATTGACAAAGTTCAAGGTGATGCACAAAGTCTGTATTGACAAAGTTCAAGGTGATCCACAAAGTCTGTATTGACAAAGTTCAAGGTGATTCACAAAGTCTGTATCTATCCACAAAGTCTGTATTCACAAAGTTCAAGGTGATTCACAAAGTCTGTATCTATCTACAAAGTCTGTATTGACAAAGTTCAAGGTGATCCACAAAGTCTGTATTGACAAAGTTCAAGGTGATTCACAAAGTCTGTATCTATCCACAAAGTCTGTATTGTCAAAGTTCAAGGTGATCCACAAAGTCTGTATTGACAAAGTTCAAGGTGATTCACAAAGTCTGTATCTATCCACAAAGTCTGTATTGACAAAGTTCAAGGTGATCCACAAAGTCTGTATTGACAAAGTTCAAGGTGATCCACAAAGTCTGTATCTATCCACAAAGTCTGTATTGACAAAGTTCAAGGTGATCCACAAAGTCTGTATTGACAAAGTTCAAGGTGATCCACAAAGTCTGTATTGACAAAGTTCAAGGTGATCCACAAAGTCTGTATTGTCAAAGTTCAAGGTGATCCACAAAGTCTGTATTGACAAAGTTCAAGGTGATCCACAAAGTCTGTATTGACAAAGTTCAAGGTGATCCACAAAGTCTGTATTGTCAAAGTTCAATGTGATCCACAAAGTCTGTATTGTCGAAGTTCAAGGTGATCCACAAAGTCTGTATTGTCAAAGTTCAATGTGATCCACAAAGTCTGTATTGTCAAAGTTCAAGGTGATCCACAAAGTCTGTATTGACAAAGTTCAAGGTGATCCACAAAGTTTGTATTGTCAAAGTTCAAGGTGATCAACAAAGTCTGTATTGTCAAAGTTCAAGGTGATCCACAAAGTCTGTATTGACAAAGTTCAAGGTGATCCACAAAGTCTGTATTGACAAAGTTCAAGGTGATCCACAAAGTCTGTATTGACAAAGTTCAAGGTGATCCACAAAGTCTGTATTGACAAAGTTCAAGGTGATTCACAAAGTCTGTATTGACAAAGTTCAAGGTGATCCACAAAGTCTGTATTGACAAAGTTCAAGGTGATTCACAAAGTCTGTATCTATCCACAAAGTCTGTATTGTCAAAGTTCAAGGTGATCCACAAAGTCTGTATTGACAAAGTTCAAGGTGATTCACAAAGTCTGTATCTATCCACAAAGTCTGTATTGTCAAAGTTCAAGGTGATCCACAAAGTCTGTATTGACAAAGTTCAAGGTGATCCACAAAGTCTGTATTGACAAAGTTCAAGGTGATCCACAAAGTCTGTATTGACAAAGTTCAAGGTGATTCACAAAGTCTGTATCTATCCACAAAGTCTGTATTGTCAAAGTTCAAGGTGATCCACAAAGTCTGTATTGACAAAGTTCAAGGTGATTCACAAAGTCTGTATCTATCCACAAAGTCTGTATTGTCAAAGTTCAAGGTGATTAACAAAGTCTGTATTGACAAAGTTCAAGGTGATCCACAAAGTCTGTATTGACAAAGTTCAAGGTGATCCACAAAGTCTGTATTGTCAAAGTTCAAGGTGATTCACAAAGTCTGTATTGACAAAGTTCAAGGTGATTCACAAAGTCTGTATCTATCCACAAAGTCTGTATTGACAAAGTTCAAGGTGATCCACAAAGTCTGTATTGTCAAAGTTCAAGGTGATTCACAAAGTCTGTATCTATCCACAAAGTCTGTATTGACAAAGTTCAAGGTGATCCACAAAGTCTGTATTGACAAAGTTCAAGGTGATCCACAAAGTCTGTATCTATCCACAAAGTCTGTATTGACAAAGTTCAAGGTGATTCACAAAGTCTGTATCTATCCACAAAGTCTGTATTGACAAAGTTCAAGGTGATCCACAAAGTCTGTATTGACAAAGTTCAAGGTGATGCACAAAGTCTGTATCTATCCACAAAGTCTGTATTGACAAAGTTCAAGGTGATCCACAAAGTCTGTATTGACAAAGTTCAAGGTGATGCACAAAGTCTGTATCTATCCACAAAGTCTGTATTGACAAAGTTCAAGGTGATCCACAAAGTCTGTATTGACAAAGTTCAAGGTGATTCACAAAGTCTGTATTGACAAAGTTCAAGGTGATCCACAAAGTCTGTATTGTCAAAGTTCAAGGTGATCCACAAAGTCTGTATTGTCAAAGTTCAAGGTGATCCACAAAGTCTGTATTGACAAAGTTCAAGGTGATCCACAAAGTCTGTATTGACAAAGTTCAAGGTGATCCACAAAGTCTGTATTGACAAAGTTCAAGGTGATCCACAAAGTCTGTATCTATCCACAAAGTCTGTATTGTCAAAGTTCAAGGTGATCCACAAAGTCTGTATTGACAAAGTTCAAGGTGATTCACAAAGTCTGTATCTATCCACAAAGTGTGTATTGTCAAAGTTCAAGGTGATCCACAAAGTCTGTATTGTGAAAGTTCAAGGTGATCCACAAAGTCTGTATTGACAAAGTTCAAGGTTATCCACAAAGTCTGTATTGTCAAAGTTCAAGGTGATTCACAAAGTCTGTATTGACAAAGTTCAAGGTGATCCACAAAGTCTGTATTGACAAAGTTCAAGGTGATCCACAAAGTCTGTATTGACAAAGTTCAAGGTGATCCACAAAGTCTGTATTGTCAAAGTTCAAGGTGATCCACAAAGTCTGTATTGACAAAGTTCAAGGTGATTCACAAAGTCTGTATCTATCCACAAAGTGTGTATTGTCAAAGTTCAAGGTGATCCACAAAGTCTGTATTGTGAAAGTTCAAGGTGATCCACAAAGTCTGTATTGACAAAGTTCAAGGTTATCCACAAAGTCTGTATTGTCAAAGTTCAAGGTGATTCACAAAGTCTGTATTGACAAAGTTCAAGGTGATCCACAAAGTCTGTATTGACAAAGTTCAAGGTGATCCACAAAGTCTGTATTGACAAAGTTCAAGGTGATCCACAAAGTCTGTATTGTCAAAGTTCAAGGTGATCCACAATGTCTGTATTGTCAAAGTTCAAGGTGATCCACAAAGTCTGTATTGACAAAGTTCAAGGTGATTCACAAAGTCTGTATCTATCCACAAAGTCTGTATTGTCAAAGTTCAAGGTGATCCACAAAGTCTGTATTGACAAAGTTCAAGGTGATTCACAAAGTCTGTATCTATCCACAAAGTCTGTATTGACAAAGTTCAAGGTGATCCACAAAGTCTGTATTGACAAAGTTCAAGGTGATCCACAAAGTCTGTATCTATCCACAAAGTCTGTATTGACAAAGTTCAAGGTGATCCACAAAGTCTGTATTGACAAAGTTCAAGGTGATCCACAAAGTCTGTATTGACAAAGTTCAAGGTGATCCACAAAGTCTGTATTGTCAAAGTTCAAGGTGATCCACAAAGTCTGTATTGACAAAGTTCAAGGTGATCCACAAAGTCTGTATTGACAAAGTTCAAGGTGATCCACAAAGTCTGTATTGTCAAAGTTCAATGTGATCCACAAAGTCTGTATTGTCGAAGTTCAAGGTGATCCACAAAGTCTGTATTGTCAAAGTTCAATGTGATCCACAAAGTCTGTATTGTCAAAGTTCAAGGTGATCCACAAAGTCTGTATTGACAAAGTTCAAGGTGATCCACAAAGTTTGTATTGTCAAAGTTCAAGGTGATCAACAAAGTCTGTATTGTCAAAGTTCAAGGTGATCCACAAAGTCTGTATTGACAAAGTTCAAGGTGATCCACAAAGTCTGTATTGACAAAGTTCAAGGTGATCCACAAAGTCTGTATTGACAAAGTTCAAGGTGATCCACAAAGTCTGTATTGACAAAGTTCAAGGTGATTCACAAAGTCTGTATTGACAAAGTTCAAGGTGATCCACAAAGTCTGTATTGACAAAGTTCAAGGTGATTCACAAAGTCTGTATCTATCCACAAAGTCTGTATTGTCAAAGTTCAAGGTGATCCACAAAGTCTGTATTGACAAAGTTCAAGGTGATTCACAAAGTCTGTATCTATCCACAAAGTCTGTATTGTCAAAGTTCAAGGTGATCCACAAAGTCTGTATTGACAAAGTTCAAGGTGATCCACAAAGTCTGTATTGACAAAGTTCAAGGTGATCCACAAAGTCTGTATTGACAAAGTTCAAGGTGATTCACAAAGTCTGTATCTATCCACAAAGTCTGTATTGTCAAAGTTCAAGGTGATCCACAAAGTCTGTATTGACAAAGTTCAAGGTGATTCACAAAGTCTGTATCTATCCACAAAGTCTGTATTGTCAAAGTTCAAGGTGATTAACAAAGTCTGTATTGACAAAGTTCAAGGTGATCCACAAAGTCTGTATTGACAAAGTTCAAGGTGATCCACAAAGTCTGTATTGTCAAAGTTCAAGGTGATTCACAAAGTCTGTATTGACAAAGTTCAAGGTGATTCACAAAGTCTGTATCTATCCACAAAGTCTGTATTGACAAAGTTCAAGGTGATCCACAAAGTCTGTATTGTCAAAGTTCAAGGTGATTCACAAAGTCTGTATCTATCCACAAAGTCTGTATTGACAAAGTTCAAGGTGATCCACAAAGTCTGTATTGACAAAGTTCAAGGTGATCCACAAAGTCTGTATCTATCCACAAAGTCTGTATTGACAAAGTTCAAGGTGATTCACAAAGTCTGTATCTATCCACAAAGTCTGTATTGACAAAGTTCAAGGTGATCCACAAAGTCTGTATTGACAAAGTTCAAGGTGATGCACAAAGTCTGTATCTATCCACAAAGTCTGTATTGACAAAGTTCAAGGTGATCCACAAAGTCTGTATTGACAAAGTTCAAGGTGATTCACAAAGTCTGTATTGACAAAGTTCAAGGTGATCCACAAAGTCTGTATTGTCAAAGTTCAAGGTGATCCACAAAGTCTGTATTGTCAAGGTTCAAGGTGATCCACAAAGTCTGTATTGACAAAGTTCAAGGTGATCCACAAAGTCTGTATTGACAAAGTTCAAGGTGATCCACAAAGTCTGTATTGACAAAGTTCAAGGTGATCCACAAAGTCTGTATCTATCCACAAAGTCTGTATTGTCAAAGTTCAAGGTGATCCACAAAGTCTGTATTGACAAAGTTCAAGGTGATTCACAAAGTCTGTATCTATCCACAAAGTGTGTATTGTCAAAGTTCAAGGTGATCCACAAAGTCTGTATTGTGAAAGTTCAAGGTGATCCACAAAGTCTGTATTGACAAAGTTCAAGGTTATCCACAAAGTCTGTATTGTCAAAGTTCAAGGTGATTCACAAAGTCTGTATTGACAAAGTTCAAGGTGATCCACAAAGTCTGTATTGTCAAAGTTCAAGGTGATCCACAAAGTCTGTATCTATCCACAAAGTCTGTATTGACAAAAGTTCAAGGTGATCCACAAAGTCTGTATTGACAAAGTTCAAGGTGATCCACAAAGTCTGTATTGTCAAAGTTCAAGGTGATCCACAAAGTCTGTATTGACAAAGTTCAAGGTGATCCACAAAGTCTGTATTGACAAAGTTCAAGGTGATCCACAAAGTCTGTATTGACAAAGTTCAAGGTGATCCACAAAGTCTGTATCTATCCACAAAGTCTGTATTGTCAAAGTTCAAGGTGATCCACAAAGTCTGTATTGACAAAGTTCAAGGTGATTCACAAAGTCTGTATCTATCCACAAAGTGTGTATTGTCAAAGTTCAAGGTGATCCACAAAGTCTGTATTGTGAAAGTTCAAGGTGATCCACAAAGTCTGTATTGACAAAGTTCAAGGTTATCCACAAAGTCTGTATTGTCAAAGTTCAAGGTGATTCACAAAGTCTGTATCTATCCACAAAGTCTGTATTGACAAAGTTCAAGGTGATCCACAAAGTCTGTATTGTCAAAGTTCAAGGTGATTCACAAAGTCTGTATCTATCCACAAAGTCTATATTGTCAAAGTTCAAGGTGATCAATAAAGTCTGTATTGTCAAAGTTCAAGGTGATCCACAAAGTCTGTATTGTCAAAGTTCAAGGTGATCCACAAAGTCTGTATCTATCCACAAAGTCTGTATTGTCAAAGTTCAAGGTGATCCACAAAGTCTGTATTGTCAAAGTTCAAGGTGATCCACAAAGTCTGTATCTATCCACAAAGTCTGTATTGTCAAAGTTCAAGGTGATCCACAAAGTCTGTATTGTCAAAGTTCAAGGTGATCCACAAAGTCTGTATCTATCCACAAAGTCTGTATTGTCAAAGTTCAAGGTGATCCACAAAGTCTGTATCTATCCACAAAGTCTGTATTGTCAAAGTTCAAGGTGATCCACAAAGTCTGTATTGTCAAAGTTCAAGGTGATCCACAAAGTCTGTATCTATCCACAAAGTCTGTATTGACAAAAGTTCAAGGTGATCCACAAAGTCTGTATTGACAAAGTTCAAGGTGATCCACAAAGTCTGTATCTATCCACAAAGTCTGTATTGTCAAAGTTCAAGGTGATCCACAAAGTCTGTATTGACAAAGTTCAAGGTGATTCACAAAGTCTGTATTGACAAAGTTCAAGGTGATCCACAAAGTCTGTATTCACAAAGTTCAAGGTGATCCACAAAGTCTGTATTCACAAAGTTCAAGGTGATCCACAAAGTCTGTATTGACAAAAGTTCAAGGAGATCCACAAAGTCTGTATCGTGTTAGTGTGGATAAGGTTAGTATGGATATGGTTAGTGTGTGTGTGTAAGTGTGAATAGGGTTCGTGTGAATAGGGTTAGTGTGGATATGTTGTGGAAAGTGTTAGCCTAACCTCAACCCTAGGGTTTATTTATATTTTCTCTTTTTAGTCTCACTTTAGATCAATGAAAGGATAAATGACCCAATTTTACATAGAATTAAGGACATAGTACTTGAGTAAAATATATAAAAGGACCTATTATTATATTTAAAATATTTGAAAAGACACCTTACCCTACATATACATTAAAGTGTCTTTTACAAATAAGACATAAACAGATATAGAGACAAATTACCTGACACAAAATTTACTTTATGATATTACTTTATAAAACATACCATAGACGAACCTAAATAATTGTTTTAGTACACATGTATAGGAAGTTACTAGTAGTGCTTAAAAAATAAAAGTAACAAAAAAAACTGTCTGAATTATTATCTTTTCATATTAAGTACCAATTAAGTTTTCAGTCAAAACAGCCAATGATCACTCTACTGTAAATATGGTAGAGTTACCAGAAGAAAACTTACCCATGAGGTATTGGATTGGAATGAGCCAAGTTTTACGCCGACCAAACCATTTCAAATAAATGGAGTCCACTAAAGGTGCCCAAAGTAATTTAATACTGAATGGCCAGTAGACTAAACTAAATAAAGCTTGATCTGAGTAGCTCACCTGTAGTCCAAAAGTTTCATTCATTAGTTCATTTTAGTGTATACAATTTACAAAAATTAATGTCTGCAATGGTAAAGTATGGGATTCAAATTTTCATGTATTTACCAACATAGTATAAGATTCAAAGTTAGTATGGGTTTCAAATTTGCTTTATGTGATTATACAAATGTTTGTAGGTTTCGCTTCAAGTGATTATATAAAAGTTTGTAGGATTTGTTTCATGTGATTATACAAATGTTTATAGGATTTGTTTCATGTGACTATACAAATGTTTATAGGATTTGTTTCATGTGACTATACAAATGTTTATAGGATTTGTTTCATGTGACTATATTTAAGTTTGTAGGATTTGTTTCATGCGACTATATTTAAGTTTGTAGGATTTGTTTCATGTGATTATACAAATGTTTATAGGATTTGTTTCATGTGACTATACAAATGTTTATAGGATTTGTTTCATGTGATTATACAAATGTTTATAGGATTTGTTTCATGTGATTATACAAATGTTTATAGGATTTGTTTCATGTGACTATACAAATGTTTATAGGATTTGTTTCATGTGATTATACAAATGTTTATAGGATTTGTTTCATGTGACTATATTTAACTTTGTAGACTTTGCTTCAGGTAACTATTATAAAGTTTGTCGGATTTTCTTCATGTGACTATACAAATGTTTGTAGGATTTATTTCATGTGACTATCTATCTATATAATCTTCTTCTGGGAGACGTTAGAAAACAAGCGCGCCTTGCAGTCCCCTCTCTTCCTCTCTATCGCTACTACCCCCCCCCCCCTCACATGGTCAGGTGAGCTGTGGTTCACGCTAAATGTTTACATTAATCGTAGAGCCGGGTTTGGTGACGGCTATTAGGGGCAGATAATTTAGTTTGAAACTATTTTAAACTTAGAGGAGGTAACTAAGAGGAGGCTGCTTTCACGGGGGGGGGGGGGGGGGGGTTAGTGTTTTAAAGCAAATATTTTCAGTGGCAGCATTGGTACTGTCGAATTCACAAATTATGAATTGCTGAAAAGTAGAAAAAACAACAACTAAATAGCGGCGTATGATACACCGCGGGTCGGCTCATATATATAATTCTGTACGTGGGACCAAGAGGGACACCAACTCCACCACATACGCACGCTGACCCACCCCCTACCTCGCTCTCCAGGCATGTGCAACAGACCATATCGCTACCACCCTCACCAGTCTGGTGAGATGTGGTTCATGACGAATGTTTACAATCATAGAGCAGGGTCGAATTAGTGACCACTATTAGATGCTGGTAATTTAGTTTTTAAACAATTTGAAACTAAGGGAAGGTAACAAGCTCGGTTTGATTTTTTCATTGTCATCTGTAAACTGTCGTCAAGGACACCTGCTTTCAGGGGGGGGGGGGGGGGGGGGGGGGGGGATAAGCGTCCTTCACGAGCTACTGATAGTGTTTAAAGCAAAATATTTTCAGTGGCAGCATTATTAGTGTCGAATTCACAAATTATGAATTGCTGAAAAGGAGAAAATAAAACAACTAAATAGCGGTGTGCTACGCCACGGTTTGGCTCGTAAACTATAATAAAGTTTGTAAGATTTGGGACAAAGATGTTATTTAAAGCCATTACACTGCACTTTAAATAAAAGGTGTAAAATGAATATTTTAAAATAAAAATCCAGATATCTGCCAGTGCCCAATAGAAATCTAAATTTAACTCACTATCTTGAATATTGAAGTTTTTAAAATTTATAACATTTAGCCAAGCTGCTGGTTAATGACCATTTTTCTTCCAGCTCCTTTTAACAATGATTTCTAAAAAGAATGAAAAAACAAACCTTTCTACTCTGTAAAAGCATGGGTAAGCTGCCTGATAGACCCAGAGGAATGCCTTGTAATATATACAGGAAGAGAAGAAGAAGAATACTGTTTAAATCTTTCTTGGTATGTTTTTCCAAATCACTTTCTCTGAGATCCGGTGATGATATAGGAATATGTGGAAACAGTGTGTGGGACTCAAGGTCAGTGTATTCAACAGATGCCATAGGACGCCCATGTTTACGAGATCTAAACCATTGGATAAAGCATAATTTACTCAGAATAATTTTAAGAAGCACAATACAAGTTTGTTCAACAATTGAGGATTGATAGCATTTTATAATAGTTCCTTATTTGTCTCACACAAGTAGGTAACAAACTGAATTTTTATAAATTAACAAATTATTAAATAACCTATTCTTTTATACAACATAAGGTTTAAGGGTTAGGGTCAAACCAACACAAGTTATTTTACAATATAAAAAAAAAATTCTACTTAAACCAAAACTTTAAAAAAGTCATTTCTTACTTGACATTGTTATTTTTGTTTGCCATTGTGTTAACCAATGTCTTAGAAGCTCCAGTCTCTTTGGGCTGTTGCTAACACAGAATGCACTAGATAAGTTAATGGAAGATCAGTTCACTTCTGTAATATCTGCCTAAAATATACAAGTAAAAAATGTACAATCCCTTATGCTTATTAAAGTAATAAATGTCCCATACATAATTCATCTAGAAGTAAAATAAATGTCCCATACCTAATTTCTTTAGAAGTAAAACAAATGTCCCATACCTAATGCCTATAAAAGTAGTATTTGGGTAGCCTACAAAGATTTTTAAAACTAATGTCCCATACCTAACCTAATTATGTCTATAAAGCTGCACTTTCGATGAAAAAGGTTTATCCCCACATCATTTATTCAAAATCTATTTTACAAACAATTTGAGTTGTCCCTAAACAACTAGTAAAACATAATCATGCGGACTATCTGGCATCTAAAAAAAAAAGCTTTTTATTCAGTCACTATCAGACATATATCTTTTTTAAAATTATTTAATTTCTCATTTTTAAACACAGAAAATGCTAATCCTGTACAACTACTGAGATAAATAGACACCAATTTAAAGTTTATGTGTAAAATTAAACATATTTTAGAAACAAAATCAATAAGAATATATTAAACACTATCAGGTTTTTTAATACTTAATATTAGTTAACAACTACAATCATAATCAAGTGATTTTTTTTGGAAATAGCCATATATGGGCTATTTATCTTAAAGCCATATTCAGTCCCGAACACCCTTAGCCCGAAACAGAGATTCATTGCGGTGATTCCAGTTCAAGACACCTAATTTCGTTACTATTTGACATTACTATTACTATACTGTTTGAGTTTTTTCTTATTGTTTGAATGTTCGCTATTTTCATTTCAGGTTTTTCTTTTCTTTAATTAGTGATTCTATCGTCAATTATGAGAGGTTTTTTTACTTCTCTTTACCTTAATTGAACCCCAACCTCCATCATATTTTTGTGGTCAATGTCACAAAAAGTCATAATGTAAAAAATTATGTTTGGCTCTGCCTTATCTAAGATCTCTAGCCATAATTTTGACAACAATAAATGTTTTTCATTATTTATATATACAGAGAGACCAAATGTATTATCCACCAGCTTCCCTCGTAAAACATCATCTAAAAATATCAGCCACCCCACCCCTCAAAAATGTATTGTCATTATGGTCGATCCCAAGTCTCCACCTGTCAGACACATTTTGGTTATCCTTTGCTGGTTGTCAAAATGTCAATATCAAATGCCCAAATGAGTGATATGGGGTTGTCCATAAATGATGTCACATATGATTTGCTACGGGAGTGAGTGAAGATTTGTGACGTCAACTCAGGCGGCTCCGCAATTTATTACGAGTAGGTCTAATGAAGAGGTGAAAGGGGAAAAATACCTAGGTCATTGATGGAGAACCTCTATAATGCTATGTTCAATCAAAGTAACAATAAATAAGCATTAGTATACCTTGCTCAAAACGAAAGATCATAAATGTTGCAAGCCTGCTAGTTTAAGACGTTTGGCAAAACGGCCTCAACACATCCCCGTCGAAAAGGCTTGCCAATAAATGCCTGCTGAAAAATATGCCCCGTCCAATCCGGGGCGTTAGGAATACGACCATTAGCATGGGGCCAGGGTCTGACGAACCAAATGGGGGCGCGTAAGAGCACCACACAGGCATCTCTTCGGGGGGGGGGGGGGGGGGGGGGGGGAGTCTTCCCCTCAAAGAATGTCTACCCCCCCCCCCCCCCACCGAAATGGAATTTATATAGAAAACATATACTTTTACAAGTGTCCGACCCCCGGAAAATGTAGACCGCCATCAAGTGCACCGCCGGATTAAAAAAAGTCTGGAAAAAACACAGGAGCACCAGTAGGCTATAGCGCTTTGTAAGATGACGTATATACTTTAATTCAATTTTGCGAAACTGCGCAAAAATTTAGTAATATTCCATCTTTTGAGGACATTTTTTTTTTTTGGACTTAAATTGAAAATCATGTTGACTGTCTGGCCTAGTACACAGCTCTTAATTTTCGAATATCACTTTTAATGTATCAAGATTCAGAACTATAATTTACTTAATATAAAGTGTCGTCTTATCGTTTATTGTGCTTTTTATAAAGCTCAGAGCAGCTTATTGTTACCAAGCTTCTTTTGGAGCTTAATATGGGTAGTCTAGTTCTATATGGTGAGAGCTTAATACATTTTTAAAGGGCCGAAAGTCTCAAGACAGCAAGCTTGCAGAAATAACCACGTACGTTTAAATGGACCAGTGATAGATGGGTGAGGGGCTGTTTAATTGAACATCAACATAAGTAATCAAATTTAACGTCGCATAAGTGTCAAAACGGCAGTGCTTGTTTTTTCTCTTTTCTATAAAATTAGCCCAACGGTCGGCTGTACCGGTACATGACGTCACGTGCGAGCGTTAACTCGGTGACGATGTGCTTAAGTGGGGGATGAAAAGGTGGGGTGCAAGAAATATGACTCATCATGCTTTTTACATTTCTTGACCCTTCTTAATAGTTTCTATCGTCCACACTGACAAAATGGATCACCAATGAATGACATGTCATACTTCTACAGCTGGTCTTTCTCCCACAACCATCCTGTTTTCACGAAAACAAAAACCTGACCCGTCTCAAAATCACATCGCTGAGTTCTAACCAACCTCTGCCCACCACTAATCACAATTTCTATCTGAAACTGAAACAATATGTTCATCATTATATTTGTTCTGTAATAGTGCATGCTGTCAAAACTATCTTTACCCCGTAATGCGACGTCATTTATGGGCGATCTAATATTGATTTGATTACTGCAAAAAAAGTTCGACCTCCCAACAATTGTTGTTGTGTTGGATGCACACTATTTAGTCTGAAAAGGTCTATTAGTCATTCATTTCAACTACATTGAAAAAAAGAAGAATTACAATACAGGCATATATTAAAACAATACAAAACCATATTAAACCACAAAATCAACACAACAGACATGCGTGAGACAATTTTTCAAAGGAAACTACTCTAGTATTATTGTTTTTATAATATGGCCGCTGCTTATATTTACTCATCATTGTTGTCTCGAACAGGATAGTTTAAAGTTTATTCCAGGATATTTTTGACTGGTTTGGTCCTTGATTGGTCATTGATAGGCCTATTATTTGTTATTTAATTATCTGTTAACTTATATTATGTAAAATATGTCATAAATATTTAAATAAATGATTAAATAAGATATGGTCAAAGTCAAATGAAAGAAATAATCGGTAATCTATCGTTTTGGGTACGTAAAATCGCCCGCGGCTATTAATGTACGAAAACGTTACCTCATTGTCAAGGCTGTAATAGAAGTATATTGTGATATTGATATGTTTGTGTCAAATATTATAGATAAATGAATAATAAACCTAAATCAATGGCTAAATATATCAATATAGGCCAGAAATTAACTTTAAACAGCAGTGTCTGCAAGCAAGATTTGCTATATAAACAGCAGCCATTTGTAAAATAGAGTGACTTCCGCCTGAATCTGGCGCTATAAGTCTATAAAAATAAAACTTTAACAAGATGGCTGCTATAGTAAATGAGCATGGTTGCATCTGTTGGAAACATCGCTGGTGTTCATTTATTACTGAAAAGTTTTAATTCAATTGTTTAAAAACAGGTACATAAATGAAACAAGGAAACATTTTTGTATTTTTCAAAACATAAATCCTCCTCAAAATGTGAAATAATTATTAAAATGTAAGGAGTCACCTGTTTTTCACATTACTAGTCGCGGGCGATTTTACGTACCCAAAACGATAGATTACCAAATAATCACTTATTTCACTAGCTACCTCCAACGCACATTACTATTTTCGTTGGAATTTACGATGCTAAACTAAGGTTTTACCTAGACTCTAGACTAGATCTAGTCATTAGCCAAATAGAAATACACTAAACTCACTAAACAGCACACATGATTAATTTAAAATCAGTGACTAGCAAACAGAACGAACTTTAAAAGTTACTTTTGATGATGTGTCAAACTCTTTAGTAAAAAAAGAACGCTATTTGTCAACCAAAAGTTGCTGTTCTTGTTTGGGATCATCCATTTATTTTTAAGACCTCCACTTCGGGAATGGGGTTGACGAGATACGGGTTAGTGGTGCTTGGTTGGTACGCCAAATGGAATGGAAATAAATTATAAACCTCATTATGGGCTATAGTAGACTATACTACTGACTGAGTTATACATAATGGAAATGAATAAAACAGTCACATAAATTACAGTGGCGGAACTAGAAATCAAAGGCTCCCCCGCAAAGAAAAAGCTAGGGCCCCCTATATATATATATATATATATATATATATATATATATATATATATATATATATATATATATATATATATATATATATATATATGGGGGGCCCTATATATATATATATATATATATAATCTATATCCTAACTGAGTAATTTAGTCTACTTCATTGCAATATATAACCATTCTGAGAGAACAAACCAGAAAAAATTTATTCCAAACTCATCCAGAGGCGAGAACATCATAAAAATGCTGGTCAAAAATATATAAAGAAGTTAGCTTGATTCGTGAATGGTTTATCGCGTTATGTTTATTTTTTTCATTTTTGCCTTTATAATATCAATTTTGAAAACATTGATTTTTATGGCTATAGTATTGTATAGTACGTCTTATTTAAGTAATAATTCAGAGAATCAATTACTTTTTAATATACAGAGTACAAAACTATTTAAATGAGCTTCGTGGGCATCCCTATTTTAAAGAAGGGCAGTAAGTCATGGAAGTAGTGTGAATGTTTACCTACCTTTCAAACTATAGCTCTTGTAGATTTTAAAATATTTTTCTACGCAACAATCTTTGCTATAGTAGACGGGTTTTTTTTTTTTTTTTTTTTTTTTTTTTTTTTACAAAACCACTTTCAAGATGCATGAAAAACATAATTTTTGAAAAAAAAAAAATTCATTGTTTTTTGGTCGGAACTGGGCCCCTAAACGTCCTGCCCCCCCCCCCCCCCGCATTGCGGGGTCTGGCGGTATGGTAGTTCCGCCCCTGATAAATTACAAT